CTCTGGATTTCAAGTGACAGGGATGATCGAAGGATTTTCTTGATTTAAGTGGGAGTTTTTGGGGGCATTCAAAAGTAATGTTTCGCCAGTTCTATTTTTTGTGTAATATAATTTAATACTTTCTGAAAATTTTTATGGGTCGGAAATTCGGCATGGCATTTTTTTGGTGATTAATGTTGGTCCAGGGATTTTTTGGGGGTTTTGTTGGAAGCGCTCGGGATTTTTGGGGGTTTTGATTTTTGCCCCCATTCGATCATCCCTGTCACTTCATTGAAATCCAGTGTACCCCAACTAAGACAGAAGCCGGAGTGACTGCGTGTAATGATTTTGGTTTTCTCTATGCTCGCCATGTGTGGCTTTTTCGTGCTTTTTTCTATACTTACATGTATAGTACTGACTTTTCGGGTTGCATATTTTGTGCGGGTTTGTGTGTGTGTGGGTGTACGATTATATTTATCAATTTTATTTATTTATTATTTTTTAATATTACTGCTTGTGTGTATGCCCCGCCAAATATCTTGGTGTTTTTTCCCTTCTCTGTGCCACCTATTGATTAACACCTTGTCTTTGTCGTAGTGGTCAGATGTTCAGTTTCATCGGTTGAGCACCTTGTGTTTTCAATATAGTGCCCTTCACAAACAGTCCCATAGCATTTATGTATGTAACAATTTCAAACGAAAGAAAGGAAGGAAAAGTTACGGAATTGTCCCATTTTATTGATTGACTGTTTTTGTCTTGGGAAGCCGCGTCTCATATCAGATTACAGGATTTGACGTTTCCAAAGTAAACTGATACGCTGTAGCAATTTTTTTGCCACGAGGTCTTTCGTTTCGATTTGTTATGAGCGAAGAATCCTTCTCTCAGTTGACACGGTCATTAGGTACTTTTCTGAGTGAAGTGAATGCACAGGATCGGGATGCCGCGTCTAGAAATGGCCAGCCTACTGGACTGGGCAATCTTGGCCCCGTATTTACCGCACAAACGACGGGCGTTTGGTCTGGATCGAAGTCCAGTGGAGCCAAACCCATGAGAACCTTCCTCAGGCTTGACTCAGATACTACAGCTTCATATGCCCAAGGCCAAGTAGAAGGCAAATGAATTAAATTCGACAAATCGTTCAATGAAATGGAAATTTATCAACAACTGGGGCAATGATTTTATATTTGCCCTTTTAGATCAAAAAGAATAAATTGAGCAGTTCACTAATTTGGCTAGCAAATATGTGCAAGAACAGATAGAAGGAAGCCATGACGTCAAACAAAATATACCAACATTAATCCACAAGTTGCTCCTGGAAAAGGCAAGCCACTCCACGAAAAGGGCGCATGGTCCAACCCTAGCGAAGAGCGTAACAAGTGGGTGAGGCAAAGGAATTAAGGCACACCAACTGAAGACAATGATAAGAAAAACAGGAAACAGAAACCACAAGGAGAGACGAATAACTTAAAAACGAAAAAGGTGAAAAAAACATCACAGAATAAGAAAGCAGCCAAAAGAAGCAATGAAATTCTGAAAGCCCCGAACCCCAAAACGGCAGAATACCAGGCTTCAGTGAGTTCTGTAAAGGAAATTTTTATTTTGCAAAATGGCGTTTTTTCACCTTTATTTAGCAAATACGTCCTTCTCGTCCGAAACCAATTGTATCCACCAATAAATTGATCAATATTTTTGAAGAGTCTGGGTGCCGCTCATTATATTGGCTGTACTAGACCTCACTTCGCAAAGTAGTAATGTTGCCAGAATAACTATTTTGCAAAGTGGCGTTTTTTCACCTTTGTTCAGTAAATGTCCTTTTCATCCGGAACAAATTCTGTCCACCACTAAAATGATAAATATTTCGACGAGTCTGGGCACCTTTCACTTTACTGACCATACTAGAACTCATTTTGCAAAGTAGTAATTTTGCCAGAAGTACTATTTTGCGAAAAGTATTATCTAGGCTCTTTCGTGATGCAGTGAAGTTGTTTTTGTGCCATAAAAATATGTGTAATAATATAATAATAATAACAATAATAATAACCGTTTTGCGAAATGGCATTTTTTCACCTTTATTTAGCAAAATGTCCTTTTTGTCAGAAACAAGTTGTGTCCACCGATAAAAAGATTAATATTTCAAAGAGTCTGGGGACTTCTCACTTCATTGACCGTACAAGAACTCATTTCGCAAAGTAGTAATATTTCCAGAATTATTATTTTGCGAAATGGCATTTTTTGGCCTTTGTTCAGCAAATATGCCCTTTTCGTCCGAGACAAATTCTGTCTACCAATAAAATGATGAATATTTTGATGAGTCTGGGCACCTTTCATTTTACTAACCGTACTAGAACTCATTTCGCAAATTAGTCATTTTGCCAAAACTACTATTTTGCAAAAAGGATTATCTAGGCTCTTTTGTGATGCAGTGAAGTTTTTGTGCCATAAAGATGTGTAAAAAATATAATAATAATAACAATAATAATAACAATTTATTATTTGTAAGGTGCAAAATAGCATTTAAATAAGTAGTCTACAATGTTGCCAGATAAGCCCCATTTGGTGGATTCCCTTTGGATTCCCTCGCAAAAAGTGGATTCCTCCATAAGTAATAAGTGTCTTCCTTCATATCTAATTAAGTAGATTGTTGTTTCTTTTCATATGGAAGATCACAATAGGAGCAATAGGCTTGCCTTGGCTTGCCAGTTAAGTAACTTGGTGCAATAATTACGTTAGTGATTCTTGCTAATTACGATCCGATCATGTGACATCGTTCAGCTTATCCAATAATCTCCCAGCTTCGTCTGTCGGTCAGTCATAAGCTCGTTGTCAAAGGGCAAGCACGCTAAGTCGCCCGCATCATGGCTCACGAAGATCCAGCCGGCACTAGAAAGCGCCCCACTCAAAAAACCAAATCGACCAGAGACGAAGACGCATTTCTTTACGATTTTAGTCTTCCAACCGTCCCTCTGTCTTCGGCGCTAGATCCACATACTAGATCGGATGTTCTAACCACTGAACCACCAGGGCTCTAGCGTTAGTGAAGTCGGAATTCTACTATTCTTCGTTTTTACGTGACGTCACAACTAATTATGCAATGGCCCGTACACCGGAAGTCGGCCATGCTGGTGGACATTCAGCCGGTCGCGTGGTATATAAACAAAGGCCATTAGGTCAATTACTTCGCGCTTTGTGTTTTAAGTACTGTATCAATGGGCTATATTTGTGCTGTAAAGAATTGTGGACACAATACTGCTAGAGATAAGGGTAAATACAGATTTTTCAGGTTTCCAGCGATAATAGTAAACCAAGGCGAAGAAATTCGCGAATTGAGCAAACTGCGAAGAAGGCAGTGGTTTGCAAATATTTACAGGAAGGAATTAGACGATAAGAAGGCTGAAAACTCTCGAGTTTGTAGCAGTCACTTTATTTCTGGTAAGTAAATAATATGTAGAATAATCTCTTTTCGTACAAAAATCCTGCCAACGGACCAAATGATAGCTGAACTAACCATCGTCTCGTGCACATTTTGGCGCGTATGGTTCTGTAATCTTTGCATAGCTGCATGGATTTTGAGATCACCTAGTCATTTCTAAATAACTGTCTGAAATAATAACCTTAACTTAAGATTTGCTCTGTGTTTACAATGCTATTTGAAAAAGAAAGATTAGGTCGCATGGGCTATTTTATTTACTTACTTGCAGGAGAGCGTGCAGAGCTCTTGGAGACCACCAACCCTGACTGGGCACCTACTGTGAATCTTGGTCATGACAAAATTAAACAAAATGTTTCCCAGCTAGCAGTTTCCCGAAATGCTCGTGCTCAAAAGAGGAATGAAAAGAAACGGAAATACGATGAGATGGCTTCTTCCTCTACATCTAGAAAAAGTGGTGAGGTGGAGGTTGTTCAAGAAAAAGAATATGTTGAGCCTGAAACATCTAGTAAGTGTACATTATCACTTTTTGGGCCCTAAAATGTCAAGTACTCTCCACAACGGTATTTTAAGTGAATGGAGATTACCGGCCTCCTGCCTTCACTCTTTTTTGTAGAAATTATCACTTACATATCAAGTCATTTAAAATGATAAACTTCATAATCCTGTTTTTGGCATTGTTTGCATGCCTTCTTCAAGCCTACCACTAAGTTTCATGAGTCATTCAGTTAACATACGTTTCATGTATGTATTTTTCATTGCAGTGAGTGTGAGCAATTTCTCTGCAGCCTCATGTTCACTAGATGAAAGCATTAATCTTGCTGATAACAGCAATGATGACAATGACGACTACAACAAATGTTGCCAGACTGAAAATGTTGTTTTAGCAGAGGAGTACTGCCAGACTGATCTTGACATGGCTCAACTGGACAGACAGCAGATCTACATGCAAGATATCACTGATGAGCTCAGCAGCACAAAAGGGCAACTGCTATCGGCTCAGCTAACTGAGGATAGCTTCAGAGATAATGATGATAAAACTAAGTTTTACACTGGAATCCCCAAATTTAGTCTTTTAATGCATGTCCTTAATCTTATTGCTCCCCACATTAAAAGAAACACCCAAAATGCACTTAGTCAGTTTCAGGAATTCCTGTTAGTTTTAATCAGATTAAAACTTAATTCCCCATTGCAGGATTTAGCTTATCGATTTAATATATCTGTGCCAACTGCACACAGAATATTTGACAGGTGGATACATGTAATGTCTGTTAGACTTAAATTCTTAATTCAGTGGCCAGAGCATGAGGAACTGCAAGCCACCATGCCTGTGGTTTTCCAACGCAACTTTGGCAAAAAAGTTGCAGTCATTATTGACTGCTTTGAGATATTTACAGAAAGACCATCTAGCCCAATTGCTAGGGCAATGACGTGGTCTAACTATAAACATCACAATACTGTTAAGTTTCTCATAGGTGTAACACCACAAGTTGTTATCTCATTTATATCAAAGGCATGGGGTGGGAGAGTCAGTGACAAATATCTTACTGAAAATTCTGGTTTGTTGAGGAAACTTTTACCTGGGGACATAGTGCTTGCAGATAAGGGCTTTGATATAGCTGACAGTGTGGGTTTTTATCAAGCTCGCCTTCATATACCGGCATTTACCAGAGGTAAAAAACAGCTCTCTGCAGAGGAAGCAGAGGAGACAAGGAAAATTGCTAACGTAAGAATCCATGTAGAAAGAGTCATTGGTCTTGTACGCAGAAAGTACACTATATTACAAGGAATACTCCCTATTCAGCTAGTGACAGCTCGGCAAGGAGATGATTTGGCTCCAATAGACAAAATTGCAATAGTTTGTTGTGCCCTTACTAATCTATCAGAGTCCATCGTACCTTTTGATTAAATATTTTAGACCTTTCCTAGCATAAAAAGTTCCTGCACAAGGTGGTTTGGAACAAATACATGCCAAAAATTTAGAATTACACTTAACTTGAGTTTCATTCCCCTCACATGTACAGAAGATTATTTAACATTAAAGCTGTGGTATCTGTTGGCAATAGCCCTCTTATTGTCTTTATATTTTTGTGTAAATTTTTAGTTGAAATAACTAAAGGTTTTTTTACAATTTTAAACAGAACAGTTATTAAAGGCTTAGCACTGTTCGGATGATAAAATGTTATTTTACTTTATTATATAGCCGCGAGTGTTTTACTGGAAAATATACCACTCGTAA